CACTGTATGGAGACTAATAAAAATAACACTGACACATTTTCATATTTAGATCAGATTTAGTACAGTATCTCATAGCAGCACATTTGCTCCACTTGGGAACTCAAATAATATGTCAGTGGTGCAGTTTTGGGTCAGCTGTCACCCACTCCCTCTCCTTGTTGATGAAGGTGCTTATTTAATCTTCTGATGGATAATTCATATTTACATGCTTACTAAAAGCCATACTGGCACTATTTTCACCAGATTCATAGACTGTAGCATTATAGCACTATACAACAACTATTATCTCTACCCTGATTACCATAGCTTGCTCCACAATCGCAAACACGCATTATCACCCCACCACTAGCACCAAAATCAATAACATATTGACACAATTTTGTAAGAATCAGTATCTTGTAGAATCAAATTTGCTCCACTTGGCAACTCAAAGAATGATTGTCAGTGTCAACTTCATGCCAGCCATCACCCACTATCTCAATCATTTTGCCATATTGTACTTGCTGTTAGAGTTGATTATTTAATCTTTTGATGAATCATTGAAATTTGCAATTTCATTAAGATCTTTCAGCTCTTGCAAAAGTTTTTGCAATTTTTGCATGTAACTTGGGTGCTTATGCTGTGCACACTGAGCTGGAAGGATGTGCATCAAACATAGTGGTCAAATATTTACTGAAGCCCAGAAGGAGATCAGGGAATTTATGATTCGTTTCCAATATGATAAACAATCGCCAGAGCCATCTTGGTATGGAAATGTAGCCATAAACCCACCTTAACTTATAAACAACTCGAGCTGGGCGAAATCATCTGGGGGCGATCAGAGCAGTGCGTTCGGGTATTGCATGCAGATGATGGGAGCAACACGAGCGTTAACCTATTTGCAGAATACACAGCGAGCACCTCATTTCAAAATTTGAAGAGTATAACATTTGAAACCAAGCAGAACACCTGCAAGATTAGTTAAATTAGTATTTACTGAATTTTGAATTTCTAAATTATAACAAAATTATGGGGAAGGGGGATGGGGCAAAGAAAGTAAATAATGCCCTCTCAGTTGTGAAAGACACATATGAGTGTCTTATCAATTTAAAATACTGCACATTAAGATTATTTTGTATTATAATTTTTTAATACTAATCAGTTTTTAAATAAAATAACTTCTTACAGAAAAATTTAATTAATAAAAAAAATTGAAAAAAACTATACCTAATGTATAAAAAATATTTCAGAAAATGCATGCCAGTATAGCTGACTGGCCAGCTAACATGGTGTTAGGAATAAACTAGGAAGTTGCCTAGGGCACCAAATTAACTGGGGTGCCAAAATCAAGAAGAAAAAGTGTCATCATCCCATCCATGTATATTCGAAATACTGTATGAATTATAATTAATTTATCTGCATTTCTGAGAATATGATATTGTCAAATCTTATTATTTACTGCATTTGTAAAGCGCTCATCCTTAGTGTTTTGACAGCCTTTCTAATGTTTCTTCAATTTTATTTGGCTACTGTCGATTCTATAATTTTATAAGCCGATTGATATAGGGCACAAGTGTCACGAACTAGACACCTGCACAAGGGACATTCATCAAGTAACAAGGCCAACACTGCAGGATTGCCAGAAGCCTCTTCTCTGATATAAGCTATGGACATATGAGCAAAGAAATCTGTCAAAGATACAAACTTCTGGACATAATGAGAATAGTTACACAGCTGGCTGACCAAACTAAACCATTGTAGATGATGAAGAAGAGATGGCCTTGGAACAAAGGATTTAGGCAATTTTGATATACAACGCTTCAACCCCCAAGAGTATGAGCTTCATGGTAATAATGCCTCACCACAGCATTACGATGCACCTCTGCACAAACCAAGCATGAATGACTAAAGGTCATTCCAGAAGACTTCTGCCTTCTGGAATGCCCTTCTGCCACTCCAGAAGGCAGAAGTCTCATTCTTGGCCAAGAACAAAAAATGAAAGCTGTAGGCAAAGAAAATAAGCCCGATCTAAAGGAACAAAAAACACACTTTTCTTAATTAAGAGTATGAAGCTCCCCAACCCTGCATTCATTTCATCCTTTTCTCCTTTTTCATACAGTACAGTGTTAGATATTTGTTTACATGTAAATTTTTCAGAATATTCAGCAAAAAACACTAGCACAAACATAAAATAGTTTTAAATATTCATATACTGTGTTCTAATAGACCAAAGAACATGTTCACTTCAGGGGATGGCACATTACATAGACATAATTAATATGCATTCTTTTTTTTACTTTTTTTCTTGTGAGAGAGCTACCATTTGCACAATTTTATAAGTTCAGAAAATAACATAGGAATAAACAATATAAAGAAACACTATGATGAGTGTTGACTAATTACTGATAGCATGTTTCCTCTAAGTGCTTTATTAGCTCTAATAAAAATACACAGGGCTTGTGCTTATAATAAGAATTTAATAATTCATTGTGTTGGAGGACAGGCAGCCAGAGTGTATTCATACACATTAGGCTTATATTGAGGTACCTCCCCTCCCCTCTCCCCCCAATGGTCGAATTACTGATCCCACCCAAGATGCAATCCCAAAAGAGCTGACTAACTCCTGAGTCCCTACTTACTGCTGGTGTATTGATAATGGTATGTATAATATTCTCATTTATGCCATTGATATTTGTGACAAAAGAAAAAAAGAAAAAAAAAAAAAAAAAGTTGGCCCCAAGAGGGAACCTTGCAATACCCAACTTACCATGTTTCTCCAGTTAGATAAGTTTCTATTTAGGACGACCTTTTGCTTTCTTTGTTTTAACAATTGTTTAATCCCTTCTAGTATTTTACCATTTATTCCATGTGCTAGTAATTGCCTTGCCAGTCTTTCATGTGGTACCTTGTCAAAAGCTTTAGAGAAATCTACACATATTACATCTAGTGGAAGTCCTTTGTCTGAATAGCTGGTTACCATTTCAAACAAAATTTAGCAGGTTAATAAGGCAGGATTTATTAAAAAAAAAATCCACCCTGCGCTTGAGCACCTGTGAGACGGTGAATGATTCTCTCTCTCTTAGGATTATGTCCATGAGCTTGCAGATAAGTCTAACCATTGTACTGAGCTTCCCCAGGATGCAACTCACAACAGTTGCCTTAGTCCAGGTACCTATTTACTGCTAGGCAAAGAGAGGCATCAGGTGAAAGGAAATTTGCCTGACCATTTCTGTCCTGCTAACAGATCAAACCTGAGACCCCACTTGTAAGTCAAGAACATAGACCACTATGAAATGATCTGGGAGCCATGAACTGAAAACTTTCAAGTATTGGTCAGACAAATATACTGGGAAAAGTGGTTAGAAATAAATTGAAGCTGTCTTGCATGAGCCAATAGGCCTTCTGCAAATTCCTTTGTTCTTATGTTATACAGAGTGATATACCAATCAGGTGTTAGTTAACAGGTATAGCAACTGGTTAAAGGGATGGGCAGACTCCAGCCAACATTGATATACGTTGTTGTATACTATACATAGATAAACTTTGCAAAACAAAACAAAAATCATTATGATATACAAAAAAAATCATACTCACAAATATCCAGGCATGAAGTTTGAAAAATGCCTGGAGCATCCAGTCTCATACTTTACACTGTACAGTATTTCCATGTAGCACTTCTCAGTTTCTGAATCTTTATGAAACTAGTTCCTCTCTCCAAGTCCCACACTCACACACCATCATTCACACCTTCAGGGACAATAAAATTACTTAATTTCATCTTTATGACACCTAAATGCACCTAAACATTCTGCCTCTGTTTTATATTATCTTAGTTATATGATCCATTCTAAAGCTTCTTGCCAAATGTAGGCCTAGTAGGCCTATAGTACTTATATTTTCAGCAAGTTGTAAACACTGGCAATTTATGAGCAGACGGGGAAAACTCAGCATTGGATGTAATGAAACACATTTTTCTGGTAGAGTCCTGGTGGTTACCTGAAGGTATCTCACTGAGATTTCTCCACCTAATGGGTCACATCAGTCGCAAAAATTCTCTTTGGACTACCAGGGACCAGAGCCAGACCCTGGCTTTCCCCTCACAGAGGTGTAGAGAGCAAGTGACAATTTGTCACCCCACCAGGAAAGTGTTCAGAAAATTAGTGAAGCTTTACAGACAACTTTACAAGGTTCACAAAAAACGAATCTATGAAACTGCCAAACAACCTCACGAATGACTCAAACAAAGCAAAAATTCATTCAAAACTAGCTTGAACTCGTTAGTATTGATAACTGCCACTAGGCAGTCCGGCCCCAGCTCACAGCCTGCATCTTTGGTCAGTTCTGGAGCTGGGAAATAACTTGCCAACGAGCTGATAAACGTGGAGGGAAGGCTGGGAATCAGGGAGCATAAGGGGGTCTGTTAGAAAGAGGCATTTCATTACATTCAATGGCTGGTTTCTGTGGGGAGCCCCTACCCCCATGGCTCCCAGAAAGTTGAGTAACTACAGATAACGAAAACACGGTACTTGCCCGAGAGGAGGAGAAATTGGCAGGCACAGAAGCGAAGGAGAGAAACCAGGTGGGAGACATGGGGCCAAAGCAACACACGACTGACTGGGACAATGAATGTTAATCATATACAGGGCCACCAGAACCCTGTAAGAATGTCTCCAATAGTGAATATCAACCCAGGACATGTTGGAAAAGGCTACCACTAAGTTGGCATACTTGCAAACAGTGTGGGCTCGAGGGGTAGGTACCACAGGCTGGTTAGACTTAATGACACTGCAGACGACTTGGGAAATGTGAGCCTTGTAACAGGGAACCTTTCCTCTGGCCTCAAGTTTTATCTCGGCCTTTAACATTTCTCATCACTTCAACTCCTGACTTCATATTCTTAATACTTATGGAGGTGATGTGTGTTTATCACTGTCATATTTTTAGTTATATATTTAAATGTTGCTTTGCAAGCTTTGTTCAATATTATCTTAGTATCTATTATAGTGTTGCCATTCAATTACCTTTGTTATATATTCAATATAAGCATCTACAACTGCTTTTTCCGATTCATTGAGGTAGTGGTTGCGAGCCGGCAGAGTTAAACCACCTTGATCGAACTGCAAAAGAATTACATAAATACATTAGATTCATTTTATTTTTCTATCTACATAATATGCAATATATTAACAACAAACGAGTAACCTAACAGCTTTAATCCCTTCTGCACTCTTGAGACACAACTGTGGCCTGGTAGCAGCCAATGGCCAGACATTAACTTCTCTTTGGTCCTTCAAGAGTTCCAGTCCAGGACGATTCATTCAAGGCTGCAGTAAATAAAGACAGTATTGAACGGAATCTTGAGTTATCAAATAGGTCCCCTAAAAGTGTCATTAGACGAGAACTCCTGGATGAATTTGAAGAAAGTAGAACTGTGCAAACTGGAACTAGCAGGTCCATTGTTCATCACAATGAAATGTGTGAAGTAAAACATGTGTATGGGGCAAGTAACAAAGTCAGTAGACTAACAGATGTTGTCACAGCTCGTATAAGACTTGGCTACAAGTATCTCTGGCAGTTCGGCTTGTATAGGGATCTAGATGAAGTAAAGTGTAAAGTGTGTGGACAAAGACAGGGACACACACTCGAACACTATATCTTGGATTGTAGTAAAATTGAGCCATTTAGAGATAAATCTAAGCTAACTCTGTATGATATGGCAACCTATCTTATTATCATGGATAAATTACCTGAAATCCTTGCACTGTATCCACATTTTGCTTCCAGTAGATGAACGACATATGAGATTCAGAAACAAGTAGTGTATTGTGAGGACTAATAATAAACAGAAGCTCCCCTATGACTCTGTAATATCCCCATTGGTCAAACTATTACGTATTAGCGATAAGACCTACCATTAATGTATGATGACTTACTGTAAATATATAGCTCTTGAAATAGCACTTTCTCTGTAACTAGCTTACATTGTAACTATAAGGTGTGAAGGATAGATGAAATTGTTTATGTAATAATCTAAGATGAGGTCTGATAAAGACCTTTTGTGCCCTCTGTAATGCTTTTTGCGCTACTGCTCACAGGATGAGTATGGGGTGCACAATAAACTAGCCGCCTTCGGCGGCAACAATCAAAGCAAGAGACTACTGTATAGTGAAGGGACTATGTTTTGGACACTTTTCATTAAAATATGTGCAAAATCAGGTACTGCAGGCAGATTTGTTAGAATTTGCAAGTTTGTTCAACTTTTCAAGCTGTGCATTATTAAATCTCTGAGGTATTATTACTTAAATGAGGGTGTGTAAATTGTCAGTGATATCAAATTTATGAATATACTGTACTGCACTGTATGAAGTTTGCCATATCTTTGAACCTTTTTTAACTTCTAAAGATGAAGATAGTATCGTCAGCATACTGCATGTTTAGCATGTTTAGGGATTTAAACAGGAGCTGTGTGTTGTCTGAATATAGTTATTGTTCTGATAGCAGATTTTGCTGAGTGATGATGGGCTTGAGGTAATTTGCAGTAATTGAACTTCAAGCACAGATACTGTATGTAAGATAGGGATAGATTAGCAAGTAGTATAATAAGGGGAGAGCAGAGTGGGGAACATAATATCTGATTTTAGAGAGTATACTGATAGTTTTTTATACTATTTCTGGGGGAAGCCCCGTCGGCTCCCCGGAGCTATCCCAGGCTGATATGCTAATGTCAGACTTTGGCATCAGTCATGTGTATGGAGTTCTTAGGCCTACCAGGGACCACGGCCAGAACCTGGCCCCTTCAGAGAGGCAAGGGGAGTAATGGCCTATAGAAACCCCCGTGTGGTTGGAAGCATTCTATGTCTGCCATCAACCGGATCAGACACCCAAAAAGGTAAGCGCCCCAAAACAAACCCCTATTCTGGTTAAAATTGCTACCAAAAGCCGAACTAGTAGATAGAATTCCCAAACTCTCCTCCGGCACAGGGGTTTCTGCTCTTTCGGTCATGGCGATTGTTTTATTTGCCTGCAGCCGTCTCCTCCTTTTCTGGCGAAGAATGAGACTGCTGTGTTCCGGAGGGGTCCGTGGGTAGTTGATGCTTGGTTGGTATGGCCAGGGGTGCATCATGTTTTGTGTCCGGTTGCGGCGCTTTGTCGTTATTTGCGCGCCACGGCTTCTGTGTTCGGGGACGTGCTTTGGGTTGATCCGGTTTCCCTTCTTCCCTGTTCGCGGGTTTGGGTCTCCCAGATCGTTTGCAGGGTTATCAAATCCAGCCAGCCTGCGGTCTATCCCTGTGCCCATGACATTCGTAAGTTCGCAGCTCTTGCTGCCGTCTTTGGGAACATGTCTTGGTCTGATATTCGGGCGTGGGGTTTTTGGCGGTCGAACAGGGTCCTGGCTGCTCGTTACCTCGTGAATGTCCCTGGGGCCCCGTTAGGCCTGTGTTGCTTTGGGTTGGCGGTTGCAGCCAGTTGTCTCAACTTCAAGTTGAGGAATGAGGGACGACCGCCTCTGAGATAAGTCCCTCTTTTTCCATCTGTGGGTAGTTCCGGGGAGCCAACGGGGCTCCTCCCAGAAAACCAGCATTGAATGTAATCAAATGCCATTTTCTGGATGAGTCCCGGAGGCTCCCCGGCATCCCTCCTTCCCTCCAGTTGGCGGTTTTTCAGGTTTTTGACATCCAGCCTCAGAACTGAGGTGTGGGTAGCCAGCATGAGGGGTCTGGGGCTCCCCCTTTCCCCTCCTGGGGAGGGGGAAGCTGCGCAGACAGCGGCGTGGCAACGTGTAACGTCATACTAGTTTGCTCGTTTTCTGTTTGGGAGTTCTATCCACTAGTTCGGCTTTTGGTAGCAATTTTAACCAGAATAGGGGTGTGTTTTGGGGAACTTACTTTTCTGGGTGCCTGATCCGGTCAATGGCAGACATAGAATGCTTCCAATCACACAGGGGTTTCTATAGGCCATTGCTCCCCTTGCCTCTCTGAGGGGGGCCAGGTTCTGGCCTTGGTCCCCTGTAGGCCTCAGAACTCCGTACACATGACTGATGCCAAAGTCTGACATTAGCATATCAGCCTGGGATAGCTCCGGGGAGTCTCCGGGGCTCACCCAAAAAATGGCGTTTCATTACATTCAATGCTGGTTTTTTGGCTGTGTGTTGTATGTGGGTGCTGAAGGTGAGTCTCTTATCTATGTATAGGCCAAGAAACTTTCAATCATTTTTATTGCTGATGTTAACATTGTCAATCTGAAGTTGAATTTCATTTGATGATTTACTTCTAAATAAAATGTAGTAGGTCTTTTCTATGTTTAGCAAGAGTTTGTTGGTTGATATCCATGAGAGGACTTTTTTTAATTTGTTATTTACAACATTATTTAGTGTGGGTGTGGGTTGGGGGTCTGAGTAGATGAAAGTAGTATTGTCAGCAAGTATCATCAGGTGAAAGTATGCAAATATTTTGCATACCTTACCCTAGAGTAAAGAAACTGCACAAATTTGTTGAAGCATGACTTGACCCCCTAGATAGGCTTCAGCCTTATGGGTACATAATTCTGTGACTCTAGCAATACCTCTAGATATGTAGCTCTCATTGTTGACATGTGTGGCATAACATTAAAAAAGTACAGCAGTTAATCCTTCTTTACAATACTGTACCAAGGTTTTAGAGACTGCTAATCCTAATTTGTAACAAAGTTTTAGATAAATTGGTGTCAAGAATCCTAACTTTTAGTAACTAAAATATAATCAAATAATTTCTCTATACTTGATAAACTCTTTAGTTTTAAACATATGTCATATGGCTTATTATCGAATACAACAGTTCACACTTCAAAATTATTTAAGCCATATACAGTGATTTATTTTAAACATTAACCTTATAAATTATGGTATACTATTTTAATTGAAAAAGAGCATGAAAGTACAGTACATAATGTCACATTATTTATAAAGCTATTTTGTAATTGGTAAACTTGCCTGCAAAATGTGACTCGAAGAATTTTTGTCATTTTCAGCAACCACCCAGGAGAACAAGGCCTCAGAGTTAAAATCAACTTTACTCTTGATAACATCATCTTCTAAGCTGTAGTTGCTGGCAGACCAATTTCCTGTAATGGACCAGCCACCCATTTGCTAAAAAGCAAGAAAGAAAAAATATCTACTGAATATGATTTCTTAGTAAACGACATTACCATTTCAATTAATGTAAACGGATAAACAATTTGCACGTACTGTACATCTCTTTAATATCATTGCAGTAAAACTATTTTAGGGTACTATTACCTCAATTAACTGAAGAACTGGTTTGCCACCAAGTTTCTCAATAGTTTTATTGACATCCATACACGAGCGATAAAACACCCGCGCCTTCTCTTCTGCCTTGCTTTCTGTCTTTTCAGTTGATTCTGTAATTGCACTGCTTTAAATGTTTTTGTATTGCAAAGAATAGTTATAAATTTTGCTTTAGCAGGGTCAAATATCAGGATTTTCAAAGGTCAATTGTTGACAAATCAAGTGCACACAACATAAAAAAAAGGCTCCACTTGGGAAACATATCACATAATATCTGTGATCTTTGATATAGATATTTTAACATACTGTAATTCAAGATTAAAATAAATTTAAAAATAGTGCCCATACTCTCTATACCAATCTCCAACTTGTCTAATAGCAAAAGCAAGGCAGTACAGTATCATAATCAGTATGGGCTACACTATACTCATTCTCTTCTAGATTATAATGCATTGCATACCTCATTTCCAAAAGGATATGGTCACTTTTACCCAAGGAAAGGTACTGAATGTTAATATCTCTTCTTCTTTCTTGATGAATATCAAATTATGGAAGGCTTTGATGTCACTGTAGGGAAGGTATCTGGCTCTTTTTGCCAGCTCATGATCCCACAATTTGTGGACCTTTCAGGTTGTTTCCCATGGCCTGTGGTGGAGCTGGTTAGTTCCGCCCTATTATTTGGGGTCAGGGCTGTTAGGTGTCCTCCCTGGCACTGGGTTGGGCTATTGTAGGTTGGTTGGCATCAGGTATGGTTAAGGTGGCAAGTTCTCTTGATGTGTTCCATATTTATTAGCATTCAATTTACGAGAAAGGTTTTGAGGGGCATAGTGATGAACTGCCATGGTAACACTGCCTGGTGCATGCATTCTCCCAGAGTTGTAACTGCACAAACAATTATAAGTGACCATATGGCTAATTTCTTTCCTTACAAACGTTATTGTTATTAATATAATGCCAGATCAACAAAACTGATACTAGTAACCATTGATTCAGTGTCATATTATCTAAATTGTGTTTTAGAATAAAACTGTATTTTGAAATTGCTTCAGGTTCATTAAGTTTCAAGACTGTTTGATGTGTGGATTTTTAATATTTTACTATATTAGAAACACTCAAGAAAATTTGTTGTATCTCTTAATTATATTCATCAGAACAACATCTTTTTAGGAATTTTTTACACTTCCCAAAATAATATATGAAAATAATAGTCACATACCTAAAACATTATGCATGATGATCTGGTTGTCTGATGCCAGTTTATTGAGAGTTCCCCATATTGGTTTGCCTTCAGGAATAGGGTTCTTGGACACCCATCCCCCACATGCATAATCATAGAAGTTATCACATGGATCTACTTTAGAATCCATGCTATTGAGCAAAGACCCAGAAAGGATGACGCAATCTGGAGTTAAGCATACTTCACCAGGACCTACGGAATACATCAAAAGATGGTTTAAGCTGGCAAGCAGCACGGTCGTGAAATACATAATATTCGTAAAATATATATTCTGTACATACACGTAAAATAAAACCATTATGCATGTACAGTTGGGAAAGTGCATACTAGTAGAGTTATTTCCACAACACAATATGATTCTGTGGCACCTGTTCTGCAACTCCCTGAATAAGGGCCAGTCTATTATCAGCTCCCAGGCTAGCAACAACTTGAGTGCCTCACTTTTCCTGGCTGGGGCTTGTACATTTTTTTTTTTTTTTTTTTTTTTTTGAGATATATACAAGAGTTGTTACATTCTTGTACAGCCACTAGTACGCGTAGCGTTTCGGGCAGAGTACGCGTAGCGTTTCGGGCAGTACATGCTTACTGTTGTACTGTATCTACTGTTATTGTGTGACATGTGTTTGTCTGGCATATGGATGCCATTTGACCTTCATAATGTAGCTCGGACTTTCCAACCTTTTGTTAATCTGGTCATCAGAGACGTGCCCTTCTGCTATGCCTACATTGATGACACTGAGCAACTTAAGTTGCTCAACAATTGAATGCTGGCAACTCTTAATCTGCCTTCAAAGTTATTGCTTCCATATGAATGATGGGAAATGCATTTTCCTAATGTTTGAAGTCTACTTCCCGAGACATCAAATGTCTGCTGTAGGTATCCTGCCCTAGGAAGAGAAGATTTAGTCTATCCAAGAATTTCCATGTCCCACACCTCTTAAGAAGCTACAGGAATGTCTTGGTATGGTAAAATTTTAACACAGATTTAGCCTACACTGTTCTGATATCTTGAAACTTTTGTACAACCCTCTGTAACCAGTTGTCCAAGGTACCCCTAACAGGTCACCAGAGGCCAAGATGGCTTTTGCCAGGTACAGTACTCGCTTAACTCCAGTGAACCACACAGCAAGCTCATGCCTGTCTGATGAGCACAAAGACAAGCGCTATTGGTGTTCCTCCCAACACAATGTCTTCATTCACCTGGCAATAAGAGACAGGTAAAGCTCCCATGCTGATGAACTAAGGCATGACCTGGTTGGAAACCAAATAGCCCACAACCTCATTGATGGAGAAGAATATTGCTGAAGGACTATATTGCCCAATCACCTTTATCCTAAGCTACTCTCAGAGGACCATGAAAAAATTGTACATATTTATTAAGTAAACCACTATTGAGCAGTTGATTAAACAACAGACCAGCAAAAATCAGAGTACACACAAGATAATTTTAAACACACACATACACACACACATACATACATACATACATACATACATACATACATACATACATACATAAAGTTTTATCATTTACTACATAAAGTAGTCACTGTACAAGGAAAATATTTTAACTTATGAAGAAGCCATCTTACTTTAGTCCTGTGTTCTGCCTGCCTTTATGACAAAGACAATTGGGAATGAATGTAGGCAAGACTGGCAAGTTGAACTGTGTGGTAGTTCAAGTGCTGCCATCTGGTGGTGAATACTATGAGGCAGGCTCCTTGACGAGACAATCAGCACTATGTTAGGTAGCTCCTTTATTTCACAGTTGTTATAGAGGGCTTGTAAAAACTAAGTGTACATGATTCAAGCATTTTACAGCTAACATTAACCGAATCCTCTCAAATACTCTTTAACACCAATATGACCCTCTAGGAACATTTAAAATGTTCTCCATGATGCCAGTTCATGGAATGTAACCCTTTCTGACTTTACAGTTCATTCCAGATTATACAGCAAAATTTTAACTTGTGGGGCAACCAAGTGGGTTCAGCGAGAAAATGTTTATTTTCTAAAGGGAAAAACAATGGAGTGGGAACCACATGAAAAAAAATTAATGTTTCTAAAGGGTTAATTACCTAAATGTAAATATAATTTTTGTACAACGTATAATGCTAGATCTTACTTGAATTATGTGGGTGAGAAAGAAGCATGTGTAAAGTTGGCTTGAACTTTGTTTGAACATGAAGCACAGCCACAAGTATTGTTACTACTACTAGCTGCAGTATCCAACCCACTAGTAGTGCCTTTTCCAGAGAAGTACGAGATCGCCACCAATGTGACCCCTGAAGAGGAAATACAATTAATAAAAAACATTCAGTATTAACATAATGAACTGTAGATGCAGTTTCATTACTCTGGAAAGATATTTTAGGTCAATACACTTTTTTAAATGCATGCCAAAACGGAGAGGGAAACAAAAAAAGAACTAGATGGGCAAAAAGGAAGTAAAAAGAGTTTTGACAACTAAGCTCAACCTCTGGAGGAAGTAGTAGTCCCCAGAACTCAAAGATTATGAAATATACAAGAGGGCATTAAATAAAGCTAACCAGAAAATCACATCAGACAAACAAAATTACGAAAGAAAAATTTATCAAAATATCAAGAAGATTGAGTTCTTTTGTGCTTATGTAAGAAGTAAAAGCAAGACAAGTAACAGTAGGACCCTTAAGATCAACAGTTAAAATAGACTATAAAAAAGTAGCAAACATTTGGGCCTCCAGAACCTCCCAGTGAATTCAGCAGAGTTCCGAGTTGGTCGGCTTTTGTCCTATCGTGGCTGAGTGGATTAAGGCAGGTGCCTGGGAATCACCAGAATGCCATTTAATGTCATCCCATTGCCTTAAAATTATTTTCTCATTGACAAATCACACCACTGTGATTTCTTTGTCATCTGAATGAGGAATGGAAGGGTGTGAACACTATTATCCGCAGATATGTTAGTGAATATGAGAGAAAGGATGAGATCAATGATACTAGCACAAATGTTCTCTATATTTCTTAAGTGCTTCTTCAGTGATTAGGGAATTTAAAAAATTAATTCTCCTAAGTCGAATTAATTTCAATTTTATTTGGCCAGATGCTATACAGTATAGGTATGTATACAATACACAGATTGACAAAGAAAAGGACCTTGGAGTCAAAATCCACCATTCACTGAAAGTCCCACAACAGATAGGGACAACAGTAAAAAAAAAAAAAAAAAAAAGCTAAACAAACCCCTAGGAAAATCAAGTGTACCTTTGACTTTAAGGAAAAGAAGGTAGTGATTCAACTTTAAAAATCTTTGATGCACCCTCATTTGGATTATTGTATCCAACGATAGAAACCTCATCTTCAGAAGGACATAGGTACTTTGGAGAAAGTACAACACTGGGCAAGTACAACACTGGGCAACAAAAATCATTTCAGAACTAAGACATGCAATTGAGGGCCTTAGGGCTAGCAACATTGTAAACCAGTACTGAACGGGGTGAGAATAGCTTGAACTACCTCATCCCTTTGTGTGTAATTTACCTTAATAAACTTATTTCAATTTCAATTGTAAACCAGGCATGACAGGGTGGATCTTGTCGAAACCTTTAAAATACTAAACAATTTAGAGAATGTTGATCCACACAAATTTTTCAAAAGGTCAGATATAACACAAACAAGAAGCACCGATTTCAAGCTCAACAAGTCACAATGTAGGACTGAAAACAGGAGATGCTTTTTTACCCACAGGGTTATAAACCCATGGAACTGCCTACCTGCCAATGCCAAAAAACTGTTGAATTCTGTTGAATTTTAAAATCTAACTAGAAGGAATCATCACGGCAAATTGGGAGGATGTCTGACAAGCCACCTGCTTCCTGTTCTCATCGAGGCCACTAGTGTTAATGGCACTCGTGTGTATTTACCTGAATTTACCTGTCTCACACATTTTGCTCATCAAGGATTGGGGAATGCCAGAAATGCTCAGCGTTTCTAGTGGCCTCGATAAGGACAGGAAGCCGGCGGCTTGTCAAAGGTCCCCCTATTTGCCTTAATCTTTTCCAACAGATAAAGGGCATACCATGTGATAATGGACGGTAGTAGTGCCGGTGGGGAGCTCTTCCGTGCGTGCAGAGCCAACTGAACTAGTATCATCGTCTACATCTGTTTGCTGCTTGTAGCGAGTCATCTGGAAAGGAAGAAGATATTATCATAATTTGTGAATTTTTGCAAAGTAATAAATCAGACAGATGCAGAACAGTCTGTCCCTGTATATTAAGATTTCATTTATTGATAAATAAATTAGTAACTAAAGGTTTTAAAGACTAAATTAGTGTAAATTGGGATTTGAGCTGTTCATGACTAAGTCTACGTCCATCTATTGTGGATGGAGGTGGCATCAACAACTTCCTCTTTTAGAGTGTAACAAGTATATTAACAATGTAATATGCTTGGTCCAAACTCTCATTAGCTTATGTCCAGATAATGAGATTGGTTTGTTAATCTGACATAACCAATCTCTAAGCTATCACACTTCCCAAGTGTATAACTAATTACACTTAATACTTTTTCCTAATCTGATAGAGGATGGTCAGGTCAGGTGAAGGCTGGTAATGTAACCAGTCCACAGCAAATCATCATCAGTCTAAACTCCAAGAGTGGTTCAGTACAGACGCTCGAGAGATACCTTACATCTTCAACATTCACCAACAACAACGTAACACTTGACGTGTCCAGTTCCTATCCTCACAAGACGCTTCAGCCTCGAAATGGAGCAGACAGCCAGACTCCAGCCACATCAAGCTTCCACTCTCTCATCCCGCACTTGATCTCTTCGACTCTGCCCACATTCAGAGCGCCACACTCTACACTCTCACCCCACATTCGAGTTCTCTACTCCTGGCCTCACTCAGCTCTCTCCCCTACTCCAGACTTCATCTCAACTACTACAACACTTCACCACATTGCCAACAAACCGACTGCTGTAACCAAGACTATTGTTGGACACCCCTGGGATAGTGGGCTTCATCTTGCTATGCTCTTGCTATGCCTACTCAGCACATCTTAGAACAAGGCGCTCGTTGTATGCTTGTCCGAGGTGTAGCCGAGGACCTCACTCCATAATCAGATCAGTGCGAGTCTTCATCCTGCACACACCCTCACCATAGCGGTTATGTGGCCCAGTAAAGAAGAAAAGGCCACAGGTGTTTGTAGTGCTTCCCTTCCACTATCAAGAAAGCTACAACCACAACTGGCAACCATTAATACTATACTAAATATAAAAAAACACTAAACTCTTTGTGTCTACTCGACCAAATACGTAGGCGTAATCATATACAGTGGCGCCTCGATTAACGAGTTTAATCTGTTCCGGCACAGAGCTCGTCATGTGGAAAACTCGTCTTGTGAAACAACAACAAAACTGTCGTTGGAGGTGTCCGAGAACCAGCGGGAACACTCGTTGATCGAGGGAAAGCTCGTCAGTCGAGATATATTTTCTGCGAGTGGCTTGCTCGTAACTGGAGCCGCTCATCACTCGAGGTTCTACTGTATTACAAGAGCATTCCACTTGTTAACTACCCGTACAGAGTATGAGTACTTTCTCGTTTCCCTTTGGCTCATTTGCGTTTCCAACTTCCACCTGTGTCCTGCATTCTCTCAGTCTGAAGCAGCTATTTTTGTCCACCTTATCTATTCCCCTCAGTATCTTGTAAGTTGTAATCATATCCCCTCTGTTCCTTCTATCCTCTAGGGTTGTGAGAGTTAGTGCTATTGGCCTATTGGCCTATGTTTGGCCAATAGCACTAACTTAGCTTAGCCTTCATAAGCTTGTAGCTTAGCCTTCATAAGCTCTGGCAATAATCTTGTTGCAAACATCTGTACATCTTATGTTTCACAAGGTGCGGATTCCATACCAGTGATACGTATTCCAATATTGATTGAACAAATGATGTGTAAATTAATTTGAAAAAGAGTCCTGATTAAAATTCCTAAATGATTTTCTTATATTTGACAGCATCCCATATGCTGCTGATGTTATCCTGTTTATGAGTGTCTCCGGTGTGAGTGTTGGATTTATATCCACTCCCAGATCCTTCTCTCTTTCTGATTCCTGTAGCTATCTTCCCCCGTATTGTAGATGCCTTCTTGTCACCTCGCTCCCTTTACTATCCTCATTAAATGGGGAAATGTAGTAAGTGGGGTGCCACATGGGTCCATTTTGGAGCCTACCCTTTTTATCATGTGCATCAATGACATAGATGAATCTATTACAAACCATATCATCAAATTTGCAGATGACAAAGATTTATGCTAAAGTGGGAATGTTAATGATATTGACGCCTTAATTACAAAGAGATCTGCATGAACTCCACAAATGGTCAGAAGAATGGCAAATGCTTTTTAATAACGACAAATGCAATACAGTACTATGAATGTGGGGCATAACAACCAATGCCACAACTACCAAAATAATAGCATTACATTACAGCAGACTGATGAAGAAAAAGACCTTGGGGTTAAAACCCACCAATCACTAAAAGTTGCACAACAGTAGGAGCAGCAGTCAGAAAAACTAACCAAACCCTTGGAAAATCAAGCGTACTTTTCACTTTAAGGAACAGAAGGTAATGATTCAACTGTAGTCCAAATGCGCCTCTGGTGGGGATTACTGTATTCAAGAATGGAGACTTAATTTTCAGAAGGACATAGCTGTTTTGGAGAAAGTGAAACACCAGGCAAGAAAAGTCATTCCAGAGCTAAGTCATCTCTCGTATCAGGAATGGTTGAAGGCCACAGAGCTAACACTGCAAACCAGGCATGACAGGGCTGATCTCATTGAAACTTTTAAAATACTTAACAAGTTAGAGGATGTTGATCTAGACAATTTTTTCAAAAGGTCAGATGTAACACCACAAACAAGGAGCAACAATTTCAAGATCAACAAACCACAATGTTGGACTGAGAACAGGAGATGCTTTCTATCCCACAGGGTTATATACCCATGGAACCTCCTACCTGCCGAAGTCGTAAATGCCCAAACTGTGTTTTTTAAAATCTACCTGGAAAAGAGTGTAGCGAATATAGTTTGTAAATAATATACAAACTCATTAGCACTAATTATGAAACTCAAATCTTTTCCCTAATTACAGTTAACATTCCTTCCATCCTTCCAACCTATTAAGAGGACGGTGAGGTGTAGTCCAATCATATGAGCAATTGAGAAGCAATAAATCATCAGTATAATTTCCACAGTGATTCAGTTAACTTCAGTACAGACGCTTCGGAGTTACCACATCACCTCAACCTCAAGAATGTAGCACTCAGCGTGTACAATTCCAACCGACCCTAAGATGCAACAGCTTCGACATAGAGCAGACCGCAGACTACGACCTCATTGAGCTACCACGCTCTCGTTCCCCATTGCGCTCCCACACTCTTGGCCTCATCGAGTTTGGACACTCACCATTCTGCATCGAGCCTCCACGCTCTCATGCATAAAGCTCCGCGAATCGACTCTCTGCTCTGCTCCAAGTTTCGTCTCAACTTTTACGACACTGCCAACAACCGACTGCTGTACCCAAGACTACTAAATAAATGTGAAAACCCACTAAACACCGTGTATCTAATCTACCCAACAACGTAACATAATCGTACGTTACAAGATCATCAAGGCAAATGAGGGGACCTTCGACAAGCTGCTGACTTCCTGCCCGTTGAGGCCACTAGGGTTAGTGGCCCTCAGGTAAATCAGGTAAATTACCTTACACTTGTTGGGATTGAACGTTAGCAGGCATTTGTCTGACCACTCCTGTAGTTTCTCAAGGTTCTCCTGTAACTTTCTGCAGTCCTCATCTGTTTTCACGTTCCTCTTCAGCTTTGCATCATCTGCAAACATTGACATGTCTGAGCTCACTCCACTGGGTAGGACGTTCACATAAATTAAGAACAGCAATGGTCCCAGGACAGAGCTTTGTGGGCAACCCGTCCTCTTAAAAATAACGTCGCTTTTCACTCGTATGCGTGCTATGGCCAAAAATGAACGTAATTTGAAATGAAATCGACTCATGAAAGTGATGTACTGTCCCGTTTTCTGTTCGAGTCCTCTGGCTTACTCAGTAAGGTTAAGAGAGGAAACTTTCTATTAATGTTTTTCATGACGTTTTGAAACTTTAGGAGAATTTCCTGCCATCCTAACCTACCAGAGGACCCTTAACTTGCTGTTTAAAAAAAAAATCCAAAATTAATTTTCAATATTTTTTTATTTTCAAATTACGTTTATTTTCGGCCATACAGGCAAACGGCCAAATTCAGATGTAATTTGTAAGAGGACAGGTTGTTGTGGGACCCCAATTGTTACATTCCCGCAGCTTGAAACCTCCTCTCTGACTGCGACTCTTTGCTTTCTGTCCTTTAGTTACTCTCTTACCCAGTTATCCCAGCTTACCTCTCCATCTTGTACACCAGTCTTTCATGGGGTACTGTGATCACTACCCCAATATTTTGGCCACACCGTGATCACTACCCCTATGTCTTGTCCACACCATGATCACGACTACCTACATCCATTCAAAAAAGCATCTCAATTATTAGGGTGACATTAAATCACTAATTGTGCTCTCTCGAGCATAGAAGAGACAGCATAATTTGCACCTGGAAAATAATTAATTTCATCGAAATTAATTTCATCGAAATTAATACCCTATTAATGCCACCTCTTGTTCTGTCTTGTGTTGATGAAATTAATACCCTATTAATGCCACCTCACCCCATCCACCTCACTCAAATGTAGATATAAAATCGGAGATGCGTAAGTTCTATTCAGTTGTGTATTTGTAAACTAAAGTCTTTGAAAATGTAATAAGTTTTACGAAACGCGCTCGTGTCGCGTCAGACTAGAAATAAAAATGAATTTTGGAGAATTGATTTTTTATTTACCTCCAACAGTGAAAAGAAATGTACGAAAGATTGAGAAAATTCGTGTTAGAATTATTAATCTTACTTTTTCGGTCATATTTAATAATATATGTCTACAGGAAAGACTGCTACCAAAATATACTAATTATATATATATATATATATATATATATATATATATATATATACACATACATACACACACACACACACACACACAAACACACACACGGGTACCTTGGTTTAAGAGTTTAATTCGTTCCTGGAGACGGCTCGTAACCCGAAAACTCGTAAACCGAAGCTAATTTCCCCATAAGAAATAATGGGAAACTAATTAATCCGTTCCTGACTACCCAAAAACCTCACTTGAAACTAAATTTTTTACTTAATTCATCAAAATCTACACTACAAAAGTATGTTCAAGTTATTACTTACCCTTGCTGATGACTGTTGTTGGCGTATGCAAGATGGTGAGGAGGAGAGGTGTTACTGTTTGGAAGGGGAGTCCCCTTCCATTATAACATCAGGCAGTGAGGACTTCACTGGTGTATACACACTGGCACATTTTGCCTGTACTGTATACCACTAGGACTTGCGTGTCTTACTAAGAATCTGTCTAAAGACACTTGTTTTTCCCTAGATTTTAACACTTGTCTGTAGTAAGACATCACATTGTCATTTAAAAGGTCAATGCAACGACCTGCTACAGCTTCATCTGGGTGAGTTTTTTCAACAAAACTTTGCAGTTCTTCCCAAACTTCACACATTTTCTTAATGAAGATGGGACATCCTCTACTGCCTCTACTCACAACTATTTCCTTAGGTTGAACCTTACTACTGGCTTTCTTGGGACCCATGGCGAGATATATAATAACAAATTTTATGCTCAAATAGCAAAAAATCCGAAAAGAAACAGTAAATCCTTGTGAAGAATTCAGGTGGGTAGTCACTGGGCGCGAGGCACTGGTAACGTTATAAGAGTACGACAGCCTGCTGAAATCTATGCTAGAAAAAGCCCTCAACCTTTCTCTCAGCGACTCAGTGGAAACAGGCCTCCCTTCCTGTCAGACAGACTCGGGGGCCTCTGCGTTCGCACAGCAACACAAATTGCTGTACCAGCATTCCTGTCTTCTTCAGTGGCGTCTGACAACCCGGTGAAGGAAATCCTCCCTGAATACCTAGTTCAACAGGCAGAGATACATGATCCCAGCTTTACAGACGGCACCACCAAATGGGTCTCTCTCACAGGACCAGCACCCCAACCACCACTTTCTGAAGCCTATAAGCAATCCAGCTGGGATCGCCCCATTGCCGAACAAGAAGCTGCAGCATTGCTAGAAGCTGCAATACCACCACATGACACTGCCCGACATTTTTTATAAATTTTACTGTAAATTATCTACTTAAAATTATCTGTTAGTTTAAGGACTTGCCCGAAACGCTATGCGTGCTAGTGGCTTTACAAGAATGTAAAATCAACTTCATTTCTATGTTCTCTCTTAACCCCAATGTACCTTCTTGTATATAGATAAATAACGATTAATCTCAAGCTGAGTAAGTTACATAATGATTTCTATGTCAAGGGGATAGCACATGAATTATGTTTATATATAAAATCACTGAAGCACCTGCGAAGTAGGTAACAATGGGTCAGAGTTGACGTCGATGGCTGCAGGGTGTTTCATGCTTCTTGTGTCAGGGGTCTCCATGCCGGCGCCTGTACCCTGGTGGGTGTCTAATGGCTGAGTGAGTGTGGCTGGTCGGCTGACCTCATCCATGCGTCACGCTTTGGTCGACCAGGATGCCACCCGTAAGGTTTGGCTGAAGAATGGCGGAGCTCCACTCGCGTCAAAGTTAAGACGTTTTAATGGGCAATCAGGTTGTGGCTTTCATAATCAGGAAGGTTTACGAGCAGAAACAGTCAAGTGCCTGCCTCTTCATTAAAGACGCATGCCGCCGTGCTCTCATGGAATGGAAACTTTCTTACCGGATCCTCCACTAGTAATAATGGCACTGGGAAATTACCAGCCAGCGAACCCTTGACGAGATATTAACTAGTCTCAGAGATGCACTTGTGTTCTGGTTCACCACCAATAATACATCGCAGGCAATTTGTGGAGCAAGAGCATTATTTATTACTGTAAAGCTGTGTCTGTCTTGTTATTGTTTGAAAGATGTTTTTTATTTTCAAAATAGCACAGCTACTAGTCAGCCCGTTCTCACGATTTGACACTAAATAAAATTGCAATGGCTTTGTCTAAGCAGAAACATGTGAACCATAAGTAAGGAACTTGTATATTATATTACATACTTCTGAGGTACCTGGCGTTGGCCGAGTGAAGAATAGGGGCCACATCTTCACCATTCACCAGCCACTTTGACTGGACGGTAGAGCAACGGTCTCGCTCCATGCAGGTTGGCGTTCAATCCCCGACCGTCTAAGTGGTTGGGCAGCATTCTTTCTCCTCGTCCAATCTCAAATCTTCCTCCTGACCCCTTCAAAGTGCTATAAAATCGTAATGACTTGGCGCTTTCCCCTGATAATTAAAAAAAATCTTCGCCATACTCGCTCCTCATCATTGTAACATCTTCATTTTCCAAATACTTCCGGGCCGGGAGTTTCCCCAGAATCAAAATGTAGTGGTAAATGTCTTCAAGCACAATTGAAATTGAAATAAGTTTATTGAGGTATAAATACACAAAAATGGATGAGGTAGCTCAAGCTATTCACACCCCATTCACTTCCATCCTTCCAACAGTAGCTGAGCTGAGGAGACGACGACGTTTCGGTCCGTCCTGGACCATCGACTTGAGAATGGTCCAGGACGGACCGAAACGTCGTCGTCTCCTCAGCTATTCGTGTGTGGTTTGGTCATCAGGTAAACGTGCATAATGTACTGAACATTAGATCCAGACATGAAGGGCCTCTAGTACCACATAAAATTACGTCTTGAAACCGGGCGGGGGTGGTGGGAACTGCTCATATTAGCCTGAGAAAGGTTTAACATCCTCCGGTGTATTGCTTCTTCTCTGAACACGTTGATTTTCTACCTCTAAGTGGCGTTATTTTACATCTTTTGTTGCGCCTGCGCCTCTCGAAGGGAAATATCAGGAGAAAGCGCCAAGCCATTACGACTACTCGAAGCAAATTATTTTAATTATACCAGCCCTTCCATTAATAATTCCCCGTATGTACCTCTCTCCCCAGCTGCAACTATTACCGTTTCATTACTGCCAGTAAGTCACATGGTTAATTAAACTATTACACGCGCCAGCGATGTGGATATGTTTTGTGCCGGCGTTTATAAGCTTTGAATTTGAAGGGGTTATTAGCTTACAATAAAAATTCAAATTACCAAGGTGACATTCTTTGAAAATGTAATTATTTTAGTATAGTATAGGCATCCTGCAGTCACGGGGAGACTATGGAGTTGCTCTCGGGTTGTCTAGGCAAAAGTGTCCTCTCCAGGGTGCAAAGCCTGGGTAGGTCGATATGGAGAAGCTGTTGCCCATGCAGCTATATTACTACTTAATATATGTTACCCATGTATTAAGTATTAAGCTTTAATGCTTATAATACATATAAATATTAACGTTCATGTTATTCATCCTTATCAGTTTTGAAAGTTTTACTGTAAAGTTTAAATTAGGAAAGATCTGGGTAAATATTGGTTTATGAATAAGATTATGAATTCATGGAGCAAATTACCAGAACTGCCGATTGTTACAAGCGACATTTAGACATACATATGAATGAGTTTGATTGGGTATAAATAGGAGCTGCCTGGCATGGGTCAATATGCCGTCCCCAGCTGGGTTTGTTCTTATGCTCTAAAATTAAGAGTCGTCACATCCCGTGGTTGGTACTGGACTCCATACTCATCCCGTGGGTGGTACTGGACCCTATACCCATCCCGTGAGTGGTACTGGGGTGGTACGTGGGGTGGTAAGTAACACAGTTAACGTATATA